AGAAAGAAAGAAAGAAAGAAAAAAGAGGAAAGGCGAGAAATGAAAAAGTGAAAGAAAGAAAGAAAGAAAGAAAGAAAGAAAGAAAGAAAGGAATAGTTAACAAAGTAAATGGAAGGGTGAGAGAAATAATAGTGAAAAACTTTTCATAGTGAGAGAAAGAAAGAAAGAAAGAAAGAAAGAAAAAAGAGGAAAGGCGAGAAATGACAAAGTGAAAGAAAGAAAGAAAGAAAGAAAGAAAGAAAGAAAGAAAGAAAGAAAGAAAGAAAGAAAGAAAGGAATAGTTAACAAAAGTAAATGGAAGGGTGAGAGAAATAATAGTGAAAAAACTTTTCATAGGGAGAGAGAAAGAAAGAAAGAAAGAAAGAAAGAAAGAAAGAAAGAAAAAAAAGAGGAAAGGCGAGAAATGACAAAGTGAAAGAAAGAAAGAAAGAAAGAAAGAAAGAAAGAAAGAAAGGAATAGTTAACAAAGTAAATGGAAGGGTGAGAGAAATAATAGTGAAAAACTTTTCATAGTGAAAGAAAGAAAGAAAGAAAGAAAGAAAGAAAGAAAGAAAGAAAGAAAAAAGAGGAAAGGCGAGAAATGACAAAGTGAAAGAAAGAAAGAAAGAAAGAAAGAAAGAAAGAAAGAAAGAAAGAAAGAAAGGAATAGTTAACAAAGTAAATGGAAGGGTGAGAGAAATAATAGTGAAAAACTTTTCATAGTGAGAGAAAGAAAGAAAGAAAAAAGAGGAAAGGCGAGAAATGACAAAGTGAAAGAAAGAAAGAAAGAAAGAAAGAAAGAAAGGAATAGTTAACAAAGTAAATGGAAGGGTGAGAGAAATAATAGTGAAAATTTTTTCATAGTTAAAGAAAGAAAGAAAGAAAGAAAGAAAGAAAGAAAGAAAAAAGAGGAAAGGCGAGAAATGACAAAGTGAAAGAAAGAAAGAAAGAAAGAAAGAAAGAAAGAAAGAAAGAAAGAAAGAAAGAAAGGAATAGTTAACAAAGTAAATGGAAGGGGTGAGAGAAATAATAGTGAAAAAACTTTTCATAGTGAGAGAAAGAAAAGAAAGAAAGAAAGAAAAAAGAGGAAAGGCGAGAAATGACAAAGTGAAAAAGAAAGAAAGAAAGAAAAAGAAAGAAAGAAAGAAAGAAAGAAAGAAAGAAATAGTTAAAGGAAAGTTAACAAAAGTAAATGGAAGGGTGAGAGAAATAATAGTGAAAAACTTTTCATAGTGAAAGAAAGAAAGAAAGAAAGAAAGAAAGAAAGAAAGAAAGAAAGAAAGAAAAAAGAGGAAAGGCGAGAAATGACAAAGTGAAAGAAAGAAAGAAAGAAAGAAAGAAAGAAAGAAAGAAAGAAAGGAAAAGAAAGAAAGAAATGGAAAGAAAGAAAGGAATAGTGAAAAACTTTGGAAGTGAAAGAAATAAAAGAAAAGAAAAAAATAGTGAAAGAAAGAAAGAAAGAAAGAAAAAAGAGGAAAGGCGAGAAATGACAAAGTGAAAGAAAGAAAGAAAGAAAGAAAGAAAGAAAGAAAGAAAGGAATAGTTAACAAAGTAAATGGAAGGGTGAGAGAAATAATAGTGAAAAACTTTTCATAGTGAAAAAGAAAGAAAGAAAGAAAGAAATAAAGAAAAGAAAGAAAGAAAGAAAAAAAAAGAGGAAAGGCGAGAAATGACAAAGTGAAAGAAAGAAAGAAAGAAAGAAAGAAAGAAAGAAAGAAAGAAAGAAAGGAATAGTTAACAAAGTAAATGGAAGGGTGAGAGAAATAATAGTGAAAAACTTTTCATAGTGAGAGAAAGAAAGAAAAAGAGGAAAGGCAAGAAATGACAAAGTGAAAGAAAGAAAGAAAGAAAGACAGAAAGAAAGAAAGAAAGAAAGAAAGAAAGAAAGAAAGAAATAGTTGACAAAGTAAATGGAAGGGGGAGAGAAATAATAGTGAAAAACTTTTCATAGTGAAAGAAAGAAAGAAAGAAAGAGAGAAAGAAAGAAAGAAAGAAAAAGTGAAAGGCGAGAAATGACAAAGTGAAAGAAAGAAATAAAGAAAGAAGAAAGAAATAAAAAAAGAAGAAAGAAATAAAGAAAGAAGAAAGAAAGAAAGAAAGAAAGAAAGAAAGAAAGAAAGAAATAGTTGACAAAGTAAATGGAAGGGGGAGAGAAATAATAGTGAAAAACTTTTCATAGTGAAAGAAAGAAAGAAAGAAAGAGAGAAAGAAAGAAAGAAAGAAAAAGTGAAAGGCGAGAAATGACAAAGTGAAAGAAAGAAATAAAGAAAGAAGAAAGAAATAAAAAAAGAAGAAAGAAATAAAGAAAGAAGAAAGAAAGAAAGAAAGAAAGAAAGAAATAGTTGACAAAGTAAATGAAAGGGTGAGAGAAATAATAGTGAAAAACTTTTCATAGTCAGAGAAAGAAAGAAAGAAAGAAAAAAGAGGAAAGGCGAGAAATGACAAAGTGAAAGAAAGGAAGAAAGAAAGAAAGAAAGAAAGAAAGAGAGGGTGAGTGCAAAGCATGTCAAATAAGATAATGAAGAAAATTAGACACGCAGTTGAACTGGGAATGAAGAAAAAAACAAAGATAAATGAAGGAAAAGGAATCCAGAGAGAAATAGAAAGAAGGAAGGAGAGAGTGGGAGAGGGGAAGGAGAGCGGGATCGTAAAAAAAAGGGAAAAGTATAACGTTAATTAGAGAGAGGATTCAATGAATTAGTGGAAAAGAAGAATATCAGAAAAATATAATTTTCACGTGACGATGGTTAAAGTAAGAGAAGAAAAAGAAAAAGTAAAATTTTCGAAAGAAAAAAAAAAGACATTCCAATAAGCAAATTCTCTAAACAGTGAACTGAAATAATGAAAGAAAAAATAAGAACCAGAGAAGGGAAGTATAATTCAAGAAACAGGAAATAGAATCAAAGAGGAACTAATTAAAAGACATTTCTGAAACAAGGAATGGTTATAATCATGCAGATTTCTGCGATAGTCATATTTGATTCGGAATATATACGCAAACCAGAAACACGATCGACATTGAAACGAATACGAAAAGAAAAAATATACAGTCACGGTAAGGTATATTAACGCAACAGTGAGGACGAAAAATACAAAAAAGATTGGCTAAAATCAATAAAATGAAAGAAAAAAAAAGCGAAGAGAAGATGAAAGAATGACAGCAAGAGAAAAAGAGAAACAAAAAATGTAAGAAAAATAGGTAGAGAAACTCGGGTAATAATGGCAACGAAAAAGGCGAGGAGAGTAAGACACTCCCGGACAGGAAGAGCAAGGCTTTAGAGTGCCAGGTTATAGGAGAGCAGCGTTGTTCTTTGAACCACGTTATTCCGCTGTATTTACCATCCACCGCCCAAGCGGCACTGATAACAACACGAAAGTACTAACACAATTCCGACGCCTATTATCTCGCCAGAACGGTTCCCCCATTTCTCTGGAGTCAGAGCCGGCCGAGAAAATCCACTGTTTAATATTACATAGCTTCTCCTTGTGTGCCTATGTGAAGAACTTTTTTTGTTGTTGTTTTTGTCTTGTTTTGGTTGTTAAAGCTCGCTCGCCTTTTTTCTTCTTTTTTTTTATTTTGAAGTATAGTTATTCTTTATTATATCAATTCGTTTACTTTCCCTACCAGCATTATTCGCTTGCCTTTCAGTAGGGATAAAGTGACAACAAGCTTCTTCAATACTTCCATTCTAATCATATTTTCAGGCAGATTTCTATTATGATATATTTGAATATTTTAAATTCTTCGTTTTTGTATTTTATCGATGTTTTTTTATAAAAAAACATAAGGCACGTTAGAACTGATCCAAGCTGTTTGAAGTGAAAATCTACAATCCTTAGTTTTATCTTCGAATTTTATCTGTAGATCCTAGGCGAAGTCCTGGTATTTCTTCAGTTTTTCGCTCTCTCGCAATTTCATTCCACGTGGTGATAAAAAGTACCCCCTTATCATTTTTGTTACATCTATGAGGTGTTCAAACCAGAGATAAAAGTTGTCTTACGGAGGAAATCAGATTGATTGGATTAGGTTCCGATAAACTCATTGAAAGGATTACTGTTCGACCAAGCCTTAGAGAAATGCACAAAAATTAGTCATAAGTACAACTCACCCATTAATTATCTATGAAAATTTGTGTGATGTTAGGATTTTGTTTTATATTTCTTTATAAAAATGATCACTAGAAAATGTCATGATGCCATTTCTGACCTTAGGTCTCTATTTAGGACCCGGAAGGAAATACAGCACGAATCAAAAAAAATAATAATAATAATAATAATAATAATAATAATAATAATGTTTGGTTTGGTTTGTTTTACGGCATATCAACCTCAATGGGTCATTTAATACCGACAAAATTTTTATTTCTGGTAATATATTTTTTCCAAAATTGTATGGCTGGTAATATTTTTTTTCCTTCAAAAATCTATTTCTGGTAATATTTTTTTCTTTACAAATCTATTTCTGGTAATATTTTTTTCTTCAAAAAATCTATTTCTGTAATATTTTTCCTTCAAAAATGAATTACTGGTTATAATGTTTTTCTTCAAATATTTATTGCTGGTTATAGTTTTTTACAAAATATTTCTGGTATTAAAACCTATTTTTACACTTTCATTATGTTTTGACCCCAGTTTGTGGCTTAACTATTTGCCCATAGCTGGGACCCTAACAGGTGCTACCAATCCAGATCAGGGTGGTCCTGGGAACACCAGCAATTAAGAGGTGGTTCCATGCTCCCCAAAACTTCCTGATCAGAGGCATTGCTGTTGGACGTAGTTTATCGTCTTACCCAGGACGCGGATGTAGTTTATCATCATACACAGGACGGTAATAATTATAATAATAATAGTAATAATATATTTCATGTATTTGTATGATTGCACCGGGAATCTGATTATTAAATCTGCTGATCGAGTGATAGTAAGTCATCTCAAATCTCCATCATCGCAGTACCCGGACACCTCCAAAGCCGTAATTTGGAAACTGTGCACCCGTTTATTAAGAGTATCATCAGACCTTCATGTTTGGCGATTTTATCAGATCTCGGGTTAGGATCTGATGACTTCCGTCATCACTTTGTAGATGGTTGGTTGTACACGTACCTCAGCGAAGTGAGAGGTCCATGTTTAACCTGACCTGGATTAGCATATTTGATGTTCTCGGTGGAAACATATGGATGACCTTAATGTGAAAATTTTATTTACTTAAAATGTTGGTTTCCTAAAACACTTACTTTGTGCTCATGCAATTTATTGATAGTCAAACACACTTGATTAGCACAGTTCCCAATGTCTAATTGTTCCTACTCCTTATCTGTCTATATTTCTGAGATGAGGTATTATGTACACTATTTACATTATTCGGACTATTGTATTCATCTTTGTCGCCATATTTATTACAACGTTTCGGTCTTTCAGTATCTGTCTATATTTCTGAGATGAGGTATTATGTACACTATTTACATTATTCGGACTATTGTACTCATCTTTGTCGCCATATTTATTACAACGTTCCGGCCCTTCGGTATCTGTCTATATTTCTGAGATGAGGTATTATGTACACTATTTACATTATTCGGACTATTGTACTCATCTTTGTCGCCATATTTATTACAACGTTTCGGCCTTTCAGTATCTGTCTATATTTCTGAGATGAGGTATTATGTACACTATTTACATTATTCGGACTATTGTATTCATCTTTGTCGCCATATTTATTACAACGTTTCGGTCTTTCAGTATCTGTCTATATTTCTGAGATGAGGTATTATGTACACTATTTACATTATTCGGACTATTGTACTCATCTTTGTCGCCATATTTATTACAACGTTTCGGTCTTTCAGTATCTGTCTATATTTCTGAGATGAGGTATTATGTACACTATTTACATTATTCGGACTATTGTACTCATCTTTGTCGCCATATTTATTACAACGTTTCGGCCTTTCAGTATATGTCTATATTTCTGAGATGAGGTATTATGTACACTATTTACATTATTCGGACTATTGTACTCATCTTTGTCGCCATATTTATTACAACGTTTCGGCCTTTCAGTATCTGTCTATATTTCTGAGATGAGGTATTATGTACACTATTTACATTATTCGGACTATTGTACTCATCTTTGTCGCCATATTTATTACAACGTTTCGGCCTTTCAGTATCTGTCTATATTTCTGAGATGAGGCATTATGTAGACTATTTACATTATTCGGACTATTGTCCTCACGTCATATTTATCACAATTTTTCGGCTATTGTACGCTCCGGCCTTCTTCAGGTGGTTGGAATGTCCAACTGAACCATTTATTTCACTCACTGGGATAGGCTGTTTTGTTCCACGTGCCATGTCTAATGGATGTCAGTCATCAGTTATCTTCTGTTAATTACTGTCTCCAATTCTCCACCGCCTTAACCAGGTATTGAACTCACACTTTTTGGGTCCTGTCACTGGATCTAACTAACGCTTTATCCACTGTGCCATGTGTCATGGTAATCTTTATAACATCAACAAAATACAATACTCGCCAGCGCCGTAAAGTAGGTAAACCGCTGCTAGTGACGGACTACTTAGACAGTATATTACCCCCACTTACAATAGTGCCCAACGTATTTATGAGGATTAGGACATACCTGTTAGTTTTCAAAGGTACGGTATATAACACTTTATTTATTTATTTCTATTGTAACCTAAGAAGGGTTACTGAATGAGGAATAACCAAACCAAAGGTTGGAAATTAAATGGCAATCTTTATAACATCAGCAAAATACAATACTCGCCAGCGGCGTGAAATAGGTGAACCACTGCTAGTGGTGCACCACGTAGAATGCATATTACCCCCACTTACAATAGTGTCCAAAATATTTATGAGGATTGCGACATACCTATTAGTGTTCATAGGTACGGTATATAACTCTATCTATCTCAGTTCAGGTTCTATCTATCTATCTATCTATCTATCTATCTATCTATCTGTTGTAAGGTAGAAAAGGTTACTGAATGAGGAATAACCAAAACGGTTGTTAGAAATGAAATGGCAATCTTTATAACATCAACGAAATACAATACTCGCCAGCGGTGCGAAGTACGTAAACCACTCCTAGAGGTGGACTACGCAGACTGCATATTACCCCCACTTGCAATAGTGTCCAATATATTTATGAGGATTAGGACATACCCGTTAGTGTTCATAGATATTGTATATAACAATTTTATATATAGAGATATTGTTGGGGTTATCTTTCTATGTTATGCATCTGTCGAGATCCGTATATCTGAACGTCGTCGATATATAGTAAGCATCTCATTCCGGGGCTTAAGCATTTAATTATGCAGTTAATTTTGACACAGAAAAGGGTCACCGAAATAATGTTTCCTTGTGGAGCCATTTTCTTGGTTTTGAAGTTCTGATAGCGTAGTTACTATAAGATTTGAAATTTTCGGTCTTCCAGGAAATTTTCTATGAATTGAGTCAACCTTTTTTGTTAAGCCCAGTTCATACAGGTCTTTCAAAATAAATTTCCATGTCGTGTCATACGCCTCTTGCAAGCCAAACAAAACTGCCGTGAGATGTCCCTTCTTAATGAAGCCTTCCTTTACAAAGGTTTCTGGGTGTATTAAGTAGTATATGTTGCTTCTGTTCTTCCTAAAACACATTGGAAATCGCTGACTAAGCCTTTAGTTTCCAGGTAGCAAGTCAACCTGTTGTTAACAATTGTCTCCATAGTTTTACATAAGGAACTAGTTAATACTATCGGTATGTAGCTTTCAAGCTCTGTGTCATTGTTGTGGTGTCCTCCCTCTAAAAGTCTATGTTGAACTTTTCCGCCTTTGACCTTCCTTGCCTTTAAAGGAGTGCCCTTTGCCGTGCTGATGTTGCTACATGCCTTACTTCTTGCCTATCTCACACTGCGAATTTTTTCTAAGCTCTATGCTAAACATTAAATCTGTTACGAAAAAAGAACTAAGCAAAATGAACACAAAACGATCAGCTTTAAAAAAGGACTCGTAACTGGAAAAACCGAATGAAAAAAGAATGTTAACAACAAATACTTTTTCACACCCTACCCAGTTCTGCGGAATCAGAATCAATGTTGAGTTTAAGCAAGCGAATGAGCCAATTGGAGTAAAATGCCATGCAAATCTAAATTTTTCCCACTTGTGACGAATGCAGCTATCGATTTTTTTGCACGCTAGCATGCTAGTTAACATTCGTGTCAATTAACTGTTGGCTCTCACGCTGGCCAATAGAATCTTCCTGCCTATTCGTGGTAGCCAGCTATTGGCTCTCACTCTGGCCAGTAGAAAATGGCCGCAAACTACGTGAAAACTGCCGTAGAAGCATGAAAAAATCGAGAGTGGGAAAATGCAACGTTGGTCTTGGCCTTCCACTAACTTGGAGCATGTGCATGTAAATTTTGGTGGAAATCCGTCGAAATTGCAGCCATGCATTCGTTACACACACATCCTGCCTTTTATAGATAGAGATTTCAATTCTTTCATTGGCTCTCTTTTGTCGGACAGTCTGCAATATCTTCACATCGGGGCACCTAGAGGTGGTGTAATGGTTAGCAAGCTTGTCTCGCTAGAACAATTACGACTGAGTAGTGAGTTCGATCCTCACTGGGTACCCCTACTTTCGGCCTTGTTCCACGTCTAAGCTACGCTTGAAAATCACTATACCCTTCACATAGTAGTGAAATCTGTGTCAGTCATTCGGTCCTGTGTACGAACTTCTAATTGAGGGCCCTTTATCTATCAGGTTGACTGGTATTTACTGTGGTCCTTCCTTCAGTTATTTAAGTATAGGAAGGGCCTTTCATTTAGCTTTCTACAATTTGCATTGCCGCCGCGAATGAGACATTTTGTTTATGCTTCACCTCAACTATCTCCTTTTCCCTTTTCCAGAATTCGCATCACCGTGAGTATCCTGGAGGTTATTTTCCTGGCAGATACCACATCTTACTTCATAGTAGCATTCCTTTTCGTTGTGTTCTGAATCCTTTTGGCCAAATTTTCTACATGTTAGACGACTCCTGCAGCTATCCTGATGATGCTCAAATTTTTGACACCTGAAGCACCTGAGTGGAGCAGAAATATATTGTTCCGCTAGTTTGATGTTGTAGCCGATTTTTATTTTTCTAGGGATTTGAGGCGTGACAAAATTAAAGACATACGTCTCTGTTGTTATAGTTTCTCTTATCTTTTTTATTAAGATTCGACGGCAATCACTAACCCCTGGATTCCTAAGGCATATGTGATTTCCTCAGGTGTGGCCAGAGAAAACTCTGCTCCTAATGACCCCTTAGATGAGGTATTATGTACACTATTTACATTATTCGGACTATTGTCTTCATCTTTGTCGCAATATTTCTTACAACGTTTCGGCCGTTGTGCTCTCTGGCCTTCTTCAGATGGTTGGAATGTTAAACTGAACATCTGTCTATATTTCTGAGATGAGGTATTATGTACACTATTTACATTATGTGGACTATTGTCCTCATCTTTGTTGCCAGATTTCTTACAACGTTTTGGCCGTTGTACTCTCTGGCCTTCTTCAGGTGGTTGGAATGTCGAACTGAACCCTTTATTTCGCTAGTTTCTAGTTTCACGTGTCATGTTTAATGGATGTCAGTTATCAGTTATCTCCTGTTAATTCCCCTTTCCAAGTTCTCCACTGTTTTAACCGGGTATTGAACTCACACTCTTTGGGTCCTGTCACTGGATCTAACTAACGCCTTTATCCACTGTACCATGTTTCCTTGTAATAAATATGGCGACAAAGATGAGGAAAATAGTCCGAATAATGTAAATTGTGTATTTTCGGCATGTTTTTGATTTTTGATTTCTACTAGCAAATTGCCATTTCAAAATGTCTTAATTGTTTTGGGGTTATACCTGCTGGATAGCACTTTTTCAAGCAGGAAAGGGTAAAGTTATGCCAGCTTTTTTCTAAGGACGCAAGCACAAGAAATCTAAGAAATTCAGTTCTTAATTCTTTTTTCAGAATTAGAGTCTGAAAGATATCTTTTGAGGTTTATATTTTGGTCATTGTACTGTCCTCCCTCTAATGAGTCTATTGTGGACTCTTCCACTTACTATAAAGTAATAGGAAAAGTAATCCTCGGGGGAATGATGATATAGACTTTGAACGGTGCTCCAAACCGTTCATTACTGTCAAACTCTCTGCCTTGAGCAGAAAGGAACCCGGACGAGGGCAAAGTTTCATCCGGGGAAGTAGACACGCCCTGAACCCGTTTATGCGGGTTCGAAGGGAATATTTTTGGACGAGCCTACGGGATCGGATAACCCACACTATTCTCGGCCTTGTGCTACATACATCCCTTGTTGGGGTGGGTCTGTTAAATATAACAGTCGACCAGATTGTTCAACTGTCGAACTCTCTACCTTGTGCATAGATAAACCCGGACGGGGCTTCGGCGAAAGGCAATGTTTCGTCCGGGGAGGTAGACAGGCCCTGAACCCGTTTATGCGGTTCTACGAGGATTTTTTGGTCGAGCCTAAGGGCTCGGATAATCCACGTTAAACTTACACAGAAGCGTTTTCAATTTCATGTAACTATTTTTCGATTATTTATTTTATTCAATTTGTCTTCTCTACCACAATATTCTGAAAACTTTAACCCATATACTCATATAAAATCGAATCAGCCTATAAACTAGTAAGTAGTGAACTTTTCGTGGCATCTTTCATAGTAATTACGTCATGAAGTATTTATTCTCTCTCTCTAACTCTAACTCTCTATCTCTCTGTCCTTTCTCTCTCTCTCTCTCTCTCTGTCCTCTCTCTATGTCTCTCTCTCTCTCTCTCGGTTTGTTCTCTCTCCCTGTCCTTTCTCTCTCTCTTTCTGTCCTTTCTCTCTTTCTCTCTCTGCCCTTTCTCTTTCTCTCTCTGTCCTATCTCTCTTTCTCTCTTTGTCCTTTCTCTCTCTCTGTGCTCTTTCTCTCTGTCCTCTCTCACTTTGTCCTTTCTCTCTCTGTGTCCTTTCTCTCTCTCTGTGTCCTTTATCTCTCTCTGTCCTCTCTCTGTGTCCTTTCTCTCTTTCTGTCATCTCTCACTCTCCGTCTTCTCTCTCTCACTGTCCTTTCTCTGGCCTCTCTCTCTCTGTCCTTTCTCTGCTCTCTCTCTCTCTCTGTCCTTTCTCTCTCTCTCTCTCTCTCTCTCTGGGTCCTCTCTCTATGTCTCTCTCTCTGTTCGTTCTCTCTCTGTTCGTTCTCTCTCTCTGTCCTTTCTCTCTTTCTCTCTCTGCCCTTTCTCTTTCTCTCTCTGTATTATCTCTCTCTCTCTCTCTCTCTTTGTCCTTTCTCTCTCTCTGTGCTCTTTCTCTCTGTCCTCTCTCACTTTGTTCTTTCTCTCTCTCTCTGTCCTTTCTCTCTCTATGTCGTTTATCTCTCTGTCCTCTCACTTTCTCTCTCTCTCTCTGTCTTTTATCTCTCTCTGTCCTCTCTCTCTGCCCTCTCTCTCTCTCCCTCCCACTCTCTCTGTCCTTTCTCCCACCGTATCCTTTCTCTTTCTCTCTGTCCTTTCTCTTTCTCTCTCTTTCTGTCCTTTCTCTCTCTGTCATTTCTCTCTCCGTGTCTTCTCTCTCTCTGTCATTTCTCTCTCTATGTCCTTTCTCTCTTTCTCTCTCTGTCCTCTCTCTATCTCTCTGTCCTTTCTCTCTCTGTGTGTCCTCTCTCTTTCTGTTCTTTCTCTCTCTGTGTCCTCTCTCTCTCTGTTCTTTCTCTCTCGCTGTCCTCTCTGTCCCTCTCTCTCTCTCTCTCTCTCCTTCTAATTCTCTTGCTATTCTATTTCAAATATTCACACAAAACGTATAGCCAATATCCAACCGACCCAGCTGAGTTTCAGGGAATGCGCAGTAATTAAGAATTTCCTTAAAGAGGCACGGATACTCATAGACAATGGATCTGAACTACGTGTGATCTCCCGGGAGAAGGTGCTGTGCCGGTTATCGACACGGAAAACTTTTCCATCAGTGAATCGAAGCTATTCATGTTTATTTGCCATCAATATTTTAAATATATATATATATATATATATATATATATATATATATATACGCTCTTTCCAGGGTCCATATATTATGAAACAAAATGTCACGGTGACGGATGGGTTAGTGTGCTAATGGATACACCGCGCCAAATATCCAGAATAGAACAGGCGTTGAATAGTAGGAAATGGTGCCTAGAATTACTTTATCATCTCTTCTATTAGGTTCTTTGGACACTACCGTAATTTCTCGCGAATAATACGCATTTTTTATTGTAAATTACAGGTGATAGTAGGGGTGCGTATTATAAATAGGTTTAAGCAAAAATATTCTTTTAGTTATTGATTTATAATAATAAATACGTACTTGTTCTAAAATAAGAAAGATATTATCCCAATTTTCATTTTAAATCCAACAATAATAATTGTAACATTTTTTTTGTCGATAAATTTATGTTTATTTCCACGTTACTTATGGAACATCCACTTGATCGTCTTTCTTTCACAAATTCAACTGCTTTGAATATACGCTCTTGTAGTGCTAGAGGGTGTCGTCAGTGATGTTCTGGAGATGGATCATTGGGCAGTTTCGGGTCTTTCAAACCTCATACTGACCTCACCAAATCGACTCCCTCAGAGTTGATCAGACTCTGAAACACCCTCTAAAAAAATGCTTGTAGACACTGACTTCTATAAATATACCACGTTATCACACATTTGATTGGAGATTGACCAACAGCCAATCACAACGGTGCAAAATCTATTTAAGCCGTTTACAGGTGATTTTTTTTTTTTCATTTTTTTCAGTGGACACCCCTTCATCGGATACTTAGAAGGTAATTATGTTTTCCGTTTTTACCCACTTCCTATCAAGTTTCTTTTCACCAACTAATAATTACTATTTACAGAGATAAAAAAAATACGGCCATTAAAATTAATAAATAAATTACAGCGAATTAAGCCGAGGGTGCTTATAAATATAATGAAACATTTGAAACTTTTTACGTATAAAAAAATAAAATAAATTACTGCGAGTTAAAACCGAAAGATCTTATAAATTACATAATAGAACATTTAAAACATGTTGACGAATAAAAAAAAAATAAAATAAAATAGCTAAACAATTAATAATTTACAGCGAGTTAAACCGGGAGGGCTTAAAAATATCATAATAAAACGTTTAAAACATATTAACGAATAAAAAACTAATAATCTCGTTTATGCGATTAAAATGAATAAATAAATACAACGAATAAATTTTGTTCCATATCTGGATATTAAGCTTTTCTTCGTCTCCCAATAGCATTGACACTTGATTTACCATTTTTTTTAGTCCATTTTAATTCTTTTTCCATAAACGTATGTTAGCCTCATTCAACGCATATTCTCTAGCTGAAGCTTTGTTTTCTATTCTTTCTGCTAATTCTATGACTTTTTGTTTAGAATTTGCATTCAAACTCGCACGTTTTAACATTTTGGCGGTAAAATAAAATGTTATATTTATCGAAAAAAACAGCATGGTAATTTTCAACTTTATTTTAACCGATTAGTTTCGATTTTATTCTTAATGTCAAGGTCGACAAAATATCTTCGTAATTATTTATTTAGTTTTTGTTTTTTTGACAAAATGTATAGATGCGTATTATACATAGGGATATCTATATTTCTTAATTTTTGGATCATTTATTTTATTATTTATGGGTGCGTATTATTTTCGAGAAATAACGGTACTTATTTCCATCTTAGTTTTGATTAAATAAAGGATTATCATCGTTTATCATTAAATCATTAATTGTAAATGATTTTATAGTTTTCGTTATTAGATGGGGGATTATCCAGCATTAATATGACTAATTTATACCTATGATGGGCATTTTTTTATTTAATGAATATTAAGATAGCACCGAATACTATTTAAAATTAATAATAATAATAATAATAATAATAAGACGATAAAATGAAAAAAAATAAAGATGTACATAACTGATTCGTTTTTTACGGCTTATCAACCCTTTGCAGGTTATTTAAAGCCAGAAAACATTTTTAGATTGCAAGAATTTCTTATTTTTTGAGACAGAGATTATAATATTTGAGTGATACAAGTTTTACTCATTAATCCATAGGCGGGGGACGTGTATTCATACCTCTTCCAACGTTATTTGCGCACAAGTGAATACAACAAACAGTCACCGGGCCACCGATTGAAAAAATGTATAGATGCGTATTATACATAGGAATAGATATATTTCTTAATTTTTGGATCATTTCTTGGGGTGCGTTTTATTTATGGGTGCGTGTTGTTTTCGAAAAATTACGGTAATTACGTGTTTCAACACTATGAATAATGAGTTAAACCAACCAAGACAGAACATCTATTGAATGGTAGGAAACTGCGTCTCTAGAATGAGTTTGTGATCTCGTCTATTAAGCTGTTCGGAAAGTGATTGCGTATTTCATTGCTATTAAATATGAGTCAAATCAGCTAATGTAGAACCGAAAAATTGAATGTTAGGCGACTTCTACAAGAATTGGCGCATCCCGACATCTTGTTCCTGTGCCTGCTATTGTTGAAAATGATGATTACATTTTGAACCCTGCGTTAATCAGCTTGTATTTCCGAAAATGGAAACTCCCCTGGGTGTTTAAGACAACGCAATAAAAAAATTGCTTATAGTGTCACAGTTATATAAAATAAAAAAATAAAAAAAACAGGCAATTTCCGTCAAAATATATATTAAATCAAAAGTTGAACATAACATATAATTATTCATTGAAATGAAAATTATAATAATTTTTACCATAATATATGCTGTCAATTATCAGTGAAACACGCCAAGACGGTAATAGAGGAACGTTTTATTCATAAATTCCACAATATAGAAAGATATTACATTAGTTAATTTCATAATTAATGGTCTTAAAGAGTAACGATATATATATAGATATATGTGTGCGTGTGTGTGTTTGAAACTGTACAGAAACGTATTATGGCATAAAAAGCAAGAA